TTTCGTCAAATCTGGTGCTAAATTTCGTCAAAGCTGGTGCTAAATTTTGTGCATCCAGTTGTGCTTTTTCTGGTGGTAAATTTCGTCAAATCTGGTGCTAAATTTTGTCAAATCTGGTGCTTTTTTGTGCTTCCAGTTGTGCTTTTTCTGGTGCTAAATTTCGTCAAATCTGGTGCTAAATTTCGCGCGTCCAGAATGAACCTGCGAGCCAAAAGCAGATCGCTCGGAGCACTTGGCCTCAGCAGCGTTTGACTTTGTCGTGGCCGCCTGTGCAGTTTCTGGCGCTTTCCTGGTGCTTTTTCCGGTGCTAAATTTCGTCAAATCTGGTGCTCTTTTTTGTGTTTCCAATTGTGCTCTTTTTCTGGTACTAAATTTCGTCAAATCTGGTGCCTGTTTTTGTGCTTCCAATTGTGCTTTTTCTGGTGCTAAATGTCGTCAAATCTGGTGGCCCATTTCGTCGGCCAAGCAGCTGTTAGGGTTTAGGGCTTAGGGTTTATAGGGTTTTGTGAAGATTTGGTTTCGTCTTGGCCTCTGTCTAACCTGCAAGCAACAGGAGGTTGGAATCGTGACCTCCACTTCTGTTCCGCGGCCGGTCTTTTCGAACCGTTGCTTCTAGTGATTGGTGTGCTAGATTGTCACATGAAAATATTTCACTTATATAGATATGTCAAATCCAGCAATGAACATGTAGACTGTGGCGGCTGGGGCTGGTGTTGGTCTGGTGCTGCGGCTGGCTGGGGCTGGCTGGGGCTGGGGCTGGGTGCTGGGTTGTTGGCGCTGGTGCTGGTGGTGCTGGTGGTGGTGCTGGTGGCGCTGCTGCTGCTGCTGCTGCTGGTGGCGGCTGCTGGGGCTGGTGGTGGCGGCCGCTGCTGGGGCTGCTGTTTGGTGCTGGGGGTGCTGGTGGTGGTGGTGGTGGTGATGGCTGCTGTGGTGCTGGTGCTGGTGGGGGTGGAGAGGGCAGAGGAGGGAAGGAGAACAGAGGAGAGGAGAGGAGGAGAGGAGGAGAGGAGAGGAAAGGAGAAGAGAGTGGAGGAGAAGAAGGGGAAGAAAGGGCAGGAGGGGCAGGAGAGGAGTGGAGGAGTTAGCATATTCAAAATCCATTTGGAGAGGCCCCAGGTAACGATGAATTATCTAGGATTTCCTGGTGCTAATTTTCGCTGGTTGTCTTAATAAAAAAACCTTTTTGCAGAGTTACAGGGGGGTGGCCGGATTCAAGATATTGATCATGTTTGCTCTAACCTGCAGGACTCAAAAACATGTTCTCGAGTCCTCCAATCCTCATGCCACACCGCCCGAACCGCCTCGCCACCGCGCGAACGGCCGGACGGAACGACGACCGGACTCGCCGAAGGCGCATCTGCTCGTGCGTGGACTCGTCCGCCTCGTCGAAGAGGATCGCCTTCTGGTCCATGAACTCCAGGGTCCTTGGGAGGCGATTCGAACGTGGTGGAATGAATGGAATTAATGGGGGACTCGCCAAGTTCGAAGAGTACCACGTACTTGGACACCACAGGCACACTGAGTGTTTTGTTTAGGTTGATATCACTTGGAACTACCAAGTAGAAGATTCTGTGTGAATCTTGTGGTTCCCTGAACCAGCTGGAGATGTTCCACTTTCATCCTGGCCTCCCTGACAGCCTCTTTGCGAACTAAGACTAGGTTCCTCCACAAACAACTGGTGCAGGGTTGTGTGCCATTGGCTTTTTGAAAAATCCACGTAAATACAGCAACAACACCCCCGCGGAGCCACCTGCTGCGGTTCTGACTGCATGAGCCACCCTGTTCCACGCTGTTCCTCCCTCACCACATGAGCATGCCGGACTGAAGGCCTGTCTGTTCAGCTGTAACAAGCGAGGCACGGCACCCACCAGGTGGGCGACTTGAGGATGCTCAGGATGTAATCTGAAAGCCAGTCATCTTCTTCCATGGCCGTTCTAAAGCACAGAGCAATGAAATTGCTACAGAAGATCCATGAAATTCCAAGTGAGTGGAGGCAGCCAATGTTACTTTCGTTTGTTTTTGGGGTGTCACATCGTCCCAAGAGGTTTGGTGTGATGTCTTTGCGGTTTTTGAGGCGCTCACTCCATCTTCCTTGATTTACCACCGAATATGCGTGGAGTTGAAGATGTCTGACAATCAAATAGTGGGAGGATAAGGTCAAGTCCGAGCGATGCGCTATACTGGCCGTGTTGAAACTAATAGAAGGGCGGTAGGTGTTGTTCCCAGGAAAGTAGGGATGTGTAACTGTTTGTCATCCTGAAGTCAATCTTTTATGAAGTTATTTGCACAAGCCAAAGGGATGCTAGCTCTTCTTCAGGTGTGTGTGTGCCCAGATTTTTGCCTGCGTCGCATGACTTCCAGAATAAGCAAACGTGCCGAAATGGCGGCTAGGTGAAGTCACAAATCAAAAAGAAATGGCTTGACCAAGGATGTCTTCTGCCCATACTCATATAAAGACAACCAAACCTAGGATGAACCAAGATTGAACGTTGCCTATGAGTCTTTGGCCGGCACAAAACTGCCCCGGCACCAGCCTGATTGGCTTCAACATACTCCTTGCACAGCATGCCACGGCAGACCTTACGGAATCTACCGGTTGCCCGTTTGGCGAGGTTTCTGCTCACCAAAACTCCGTTTCACCACTGAATGTCATGTACTGCACAAATGGATTCTGCGCTCTTCCTTTTTTGTCAGGAGTAAAGCCGGTCGATCGAGATAAAAAAAAGGTGAACCATCGTTGATCGCGGGATTGAGAAGTGTTCCATCGGATGTACATGAGGTTACCCTGCGATCATATGGATGAGTATCAGAATACTCCCAATTCGGCCGTCCTGGTTTAAGGAAAAGTAGACCAAAACCTGTTGATTGGGGATCTTCCTCTTGCAATAGCTATACGTCCCAAACCGCAATAGCCGTATTAACCGCTTTGGGCCGCGGTAGTTCACACCCTTGAGAGTTCACAAGAATACATCTTCTATGTTTAATTGGTATTTAGTTACTATGGTCACAAATTTCATATGGGTTATAGGTACGAAAGTGTTTCCACCCTTTGGGGACTCTAAAAATGCGCTGTTTTTACATGTTTTACAACGAGCCGACTGTCTCTGTCCCCACAGCGTTCCCACCAGTTGATCTGGGATCCCCGACTCGCTCTACTTTGGCGAGCACATCATTGCCAAGCGCCTGGGAGCACAACAGTGCCGTAGATTGGGGTGTGGTCCTTGAAGGGGCGTTCTGCCCAAACACACCGCCAATCTCAAGAGTCGAAACAAAAAGGGAAGAACCTGCTGACGGACCATCCCGCCCATCGCGGTCCGTGCCGTATGAGGTCCGGCATCGTTTCGGCCTGATTCTTCAGCAGCTTCTGCAAGGCCTTCACCGACTTGGAGGTTTGCTGCATGGCGACTTGTGATCTGGCGGAACAGCTGTGTTTGGAGCGTGCCCATGAGGGAATGGTGTTTGCATGCATTCCAAAAACACCTGCTGTGGTCCAGACAGAAACAAGAAATTTTGCGCAGTAGAAGGAATTCAATCCACTTCCATATGATTAACTAGGTTGGAAACAAATCACCACCTCTATGTTGGGGAGGGGGGTTGAGACTGGTCTTCTGGACGCAGTTGGTGGAGTCAGTGTAATCCTTCGACAAATCAAGAGCCATTGTTGTAACTCGATAGGAAGCGCATGTCAATAGTATAAAGCCTGCGGCAACTATCACGGGAGATGAGCCCATATGGAAACACGAGGACCCTTTGGGTAACAGAAGCAGCGCTTGGCACTGGCACAGCTTCCAATTTGTTTGTTGAAAACCTTTTGAGTGTGACAGACCTTTGTGTGTGTGAAGCCCTTGTGGAATCATAGGGGACCTTTTGGTCTCTTTCAGCAAGGGAACGGTGGGCATGCTTGAAGTCACTGCTCAACGAAGACACTTCAAGTTTGCTGTGATATGCATGAGGATGATCACCAGTTACTTCCTCCTTGGTCCCGTGCATAACTAGAACAAGACTCCTCTCTCAGCTTCGGTTCTGCATTAAAGTGCTGATGAGCTTGACCGACTTGCAGTTGCAACTTGGTGCAGTTGGAGGTTTTGAAGACGTCCAGACAACCCGACTTTTGAAACTTTGAGGATGTTCAGACCACATCAGTACCGTACGCATTTCCCGAGTGTGTGTTCGCAACTTTTGTCTAAGGTTCTGAGATCATTAGATTTGGGAGGAGATTCGCCCAAGCAACTTGGAAGCACGCGAACTGTAATCAATTTGGGGTGCGACGGGAATCCAGCCTTCGGCCTCCAACCTACCAGCGATGGCCTCCCCTTAATAGCAATCTACGGTAGGACCCCAAAACATTTTGGGCACCATCACCCGAAGCCTTGGCCGATAGAAACCAAGATCCACGCCTCAAGACGCCCTCAGCACCGCCCGAGGCGGCCGCCGCCACGGCACGCTTCTCGGTGGCCTGAAAGGGTTGGCTGGCTGGTGATAGAACATAAATATATAAATATTATATTTATGTAATAATATATATATATGCAGTAGTCCATTAGAATATGTTGTGTCACATAAAATTACAAGGTGTGTGGGTGTGGGTGTGGGTGTGGGTGTGGCGTGGGCGTGGGCGTGGGCGCGGGGCGTGGGCGTGGGCGTGGGTGTGGGTGTGGGTGGGCGGGTGGTCCCACCACAAGGCAACAGAAACTAGACTGGCGATGACCACTGCAGGGCCATCATACATGCCAGAAGTTAGTGCCCCAGATCATACATCATTGGTGTTTTGAAGAAATCAAGCTGATCTAGAAGGAGTAGTGGACTTGTGGACATGCACCATCCGTAAGTCCACGGCGAGAAAAGATGCGCGATGCACGGTGAAACCCAGCCCAGTACCAGGTGTGGGTCAAAATCTGGAACACCCAAACCATTGCAAATGAAGCTCCCCAAAAAGCATGGGTGATTCTCTTCCTCTGGGTCTCCATGATGTTGCACCAAACCCACCCAATCCCATCCCAACACGCACGCAGCGCGCAGTGTTTGGTTCCTTCTTTCGCTTCTCGTCGTTTGGGCCACCAAGTGCCAGGTCCACAAAGCGCTGCCACTCGTCCTCAGCGCTGGAACCCACATGGACCGGAGCACAGATGGTCCGACCCAATGAACCCGTGCCGGCGTCCTAAAATTGAGTGTTTGCTTTACGCCCATGTGCGGATGTGCAAGAAGTTCCTGCGCCCGGCGAAGTAGGTACATACAGTATGTACAATGTCACGGCGGCCTAGCGACTCTGGGGAATTGGAGGTTTGTGTCGAAATGGGTTGGTAACAAAAGCACCGGTTTAGAGCATTCTTGCGAGGAACCATTGAAATGGAGAAGCTGGAAACCCTTTATTTTACTGAGGTTTTGTTGCTTTGTGTTTCTCCCTGGTGCGTGGAGTTGTTCTGAAGTCACAGGTTTGCAGCAGGAAGACATTGTTGCGCCCCATGTGTGCGTGTGTGTGTGTCAGAAATTTTTGGAGTCACTGGGAATCCGTTGATTTTCTCAGCAGGGGGATCACCCACAGACTTACTGGTGAGGGTCAAGCTCCGTGCTGATATCTGGTCTAATCAGCCAGACGTACCTGCCGTGAATACAATGTATTTCCTCCTGGGCCCTTTGTCACTAGAACAAGCTGCTGCCATTGCATCGGTTTGAATTCTGCAGACAAGCGCTCGCCGCTGGATCTCTCGTCGACCTTTTCGTTTTCGTGACTTTGGATTGTAAAGACTTTCAGGTTCATGGTCAAACCGTCTTACATACCTCTCACCTCACTTCTTAGGCATTCATACCTAGGTGGACGTGTGGCCTGTGGCATTCAATTCAGTATGTAACTTCTCGAGTGTGTCTCTCTAGGGTGAACCCGACGAGTGTCCCCTGTGGCCCCGTCGACCGGGGTTTGTCTACGTTTCCATTGCTCACAAACGACGGAATAGGCTTGTGCCATAGTTGCGCCAAGACTTGACGAATTCACGAAACTGAGTAGGCAGCTTTCGAGCACGCCAGAACCTGTCCATAGCGGACTAGAGCAGGCTTTATGCCACGAGGTGGCTGCAGCGACCAGAGCTTGATCAACCCATAGGTCACAGGTCTGCCCCGGTCGCTCTAATGAGGTTTGGCTTCGTCGGCTTTCGGCCCCTCCATTTGGTTCCATGTACACGCACATCTACTTTTAACCCAGGTTTCAGGTCGCCGAGGTCTTGACAATGAGGTGGGGTTCACTGCTTGTCCCTGTTCATTTGGTTTCTCCTTCATCGCAACCACATACACCTTTGTCCTGTCGTGTCCCTTTTCATGTCTTCATCTTCTTGCCCTTTTTGCGAGCACACATGCACGTCAGTCAGCTCCTTAGTTTCTTGGGGCGCCCCGCACGCCGGGGGGGCATGTGTGTGTGTGTGTGCGAAATTTTGGGAGTCACAGGGAATCCATTGATTTTCTCAGCACCACGGATTTGACTGGTGATCCATGCTGACATACCTGCCGTGAATACCATGTATTTCCTCCTGGGCCCTTTGTCACTAGAACAAGCTGCTGGTCATTGCATCGGTTTGAATTCTTCAGACAAGCGCTCGCCGCTGGATCTCTCGTCGACCTTTTCGTTTTCGTGACTTTGGATTGTAAAGACTTTCAGGTTCATGGTCAAACCGTCTTACATACCTCTCACCTCACTTCTTAGGCATTCATACCTAGGTGGACGTGTGGCCTGTGGCATTCAATTCAGTATGCAATTTCTCGAGTGTGTGTGTGTATGGTTCAGCACTCCCAACCAAGCCCCCGGACAAACACATACTGCAAGGCGTAGGAAACATATGCCTCCAGCGCGGGATTGTGATCACTCAAAGTTGAACCACTTAGCCTAAACATCACACCGCCTGCCCAATACGCAAAGGCATGCTGAACAAAGGAAGAAAAGAGGAAAATGACTGGTGCCTTGACAAAAAGCAAGCCTGCACTCATCTCCTGCGAACTGCCGAACATCCAAATGGCACAAAAAGCTCCCCCACTCACTCCAGACCGAAGGAAAAGGCCTCCGCCGAGGCGAACTCCTTCCGGTGCTGCGGTTCCCGAGCGGCGCTCGCTGCATCGTCCCTGCGGTGCGTGTTCGGGCGTTGTGGAGGCGGACGGGCGAAGACGAGTCTTTCGCCCCAAGCGGGACTGGTCGGTCAGTGGTAGGTTCTTTCGACAAAGCGCGTTAAGTTCGTTGGTTCAGAAATGGTTAGGCTGAAGTTCAGATGAAATGGTAGGTTCGGATCTCTTTTCTAAGTGGTGCTGAAAACAGCGGTGATCTGATCCGCCTGAGCCCTGAATCAACGGCAGAGATGTGGGTGTGTATTAGAATAGGGAGACCAGCAAGGACCCATGGCATGGTAGAAAGCCAAACCCATTGGTTGAAGGATCTGAAACTGCAAGATTCATCCGAAAAGCCTTCACCATCAGATCAATTCGTGGACTGGCGATGAAGAGATTCCATGAATTTCCTTATCACAGCACTCAAATGTCCAGTGTCCTTTTTCCATACAGGTCAGGAACTGGTAGAGAGGAGACGACCAGGGTTGCCGTGGGGGTGGGAAGTTTCACCAGAATGAACAGAACTCACAACCACTTCGCCACAAGCCCGCAAACCCACAACTCACATCAATTCCACTGGATGTGGCAAGAAGTGGGCCCTCAGGACCTCAGCAGGACGTCTCGCCGTGTGTCCAAGCTCCTTCTTAAACCCAGAGGTTCCCGGCAGATAGCAAACAAACGAACAGAACTACTCTACAGGTATTAAACATGGAACTCAAAAATTGCTTGGATATTTTTCACTGGCCCTGGTTCCCTTCTGTTGAACAACTCAGCCCTGCTCCACCGTGCCTGGGCCTTGGTGCTGGGCCCCGCGTGGGCCCCTTTGGGGCCTTGTGCCGAGCCACAGGGAGGGTCATCTGAACTAGTGAAAAGATCGAATCCGATGCGAGTTTGGGTGCAATCGCTGAAACAGGGCAACGGATAGATGTTGGGATTGAACCCAAGTCCATGAAATGCATTTAGTTACTTGAGGACGATGATCCAACTCCCCGAAATTGGCCATGATCGACGGATGGCCCGTTTGATGACGATTACTATAATAAGCTACCAAGGGCCCATCAAATGCTATATAATTGGGAGACCCCGTGGCCCAACGGGTAGAGTGGCTTATTTCCCTCCTTCCAGCAGGTCGAACTGGGAGGTCTCCCTAAGTCGATACACACCATCATCATTGCTGGATTTGTTGCTGGAAACGTTCTCGAGCACAGGCTTGGTACAGGCCTCGTGAGGTACACTCAGCGGCAGAAGTCACAGCACCCCGACTTCGGAAGCCAACGTAGAATTTCAGAGTCAGGCTGTGAGTCAATACCTAACACATCCTAACCCCAACCCTTGACCCTCCTGGTCAAAGCAGCTTTTTATTGAAAACCGGTGGCAAGGAGAATGGCACGAAGCCCTGCCTGCACACCAGCCCCTTCAGCCGCCTTTGGTGGCGACGCTAAGAGCGCCAGCGCCGCTTCCCGCGCCTGCTGCGCACGGAGGAGCGCCTGGTGGCAGCGCTCCTGATGACAAAGGTCAGTGGTAGGGATTTGTGACCAACACGACACGGATCGCATGGTTCAACTTGGAAAACACATTAGTAACGGGGAGAGGCAACAAGAGTTCCACCTGGAAAGTCCAAAGTTCTATCTCCAATATCCAACATATACGGATGTTATACCACTTTCTCAAGGTCTTATTGGGTTGATGAGTTCTGCTCGTCATTGCTGGTCCCCTTTTCTCGTTTGAAGCGCTACCTCCTGTCCAACCGCCTGTGGCATGACCAGGCGGATCACAATCCGTGGTGCGAAAAGGAAGGGAAAGCATCCTGACAGGCTGGTCCGTTGTGACCCCAGCAAAACCTGGTCATTTATCTCACTATAGGTATCGACATTGTGTTTAAATGATCAACATTGATCAACTGTTAATAACTCTTGGATCTCCACCTTACAACCAAGAACCCAAAAGGCTCGAGCGTCTCCTAACGGGCCCGCACCTCTTCGCCGGGGTTCTTGTCCGGGTGCACCAGCAAGGCCAGGCGCCGAAAGGCCGTCCTGTCGACCGCGGCGGAAGGCCGTCCAGCGTTCGACGCCAGAAGGATCCAATGGGGCACAGACTCGAAAAGAGCATAGTATGGGATATGATATACTGATTGAATCTTATTTATATTAAGGATTCAGGATGTTTTAAAAAACATGGGCTCAATCTGGGTGAAGATTCTGTGGAGAGTTTTTTTGTGGCACTGGGAATGGAAAGGAAGACTATAGGACCTTCTGCATGCGTTCACCGGCTCAGTGGATCTCAGTGGATCTCAGTGAGGCTTGTTCAGGGCCCCTTCAGGCCGAGAAGGGTTGTGTGGGTAGGCCCTGAGGTGATGAGATTGGTGGGTCAAACTCCGCCCGGGACTGAGCTAATTAACTAGAAACCCCTCAGTCCTGCGGAAAATGCGGATGATCCGTATGCGGATCATGGAAATGATTCGACGAACTTGACAAGACCCACCAGGAGCAAAGAGCACAAAGAGCCTTGAGAATCAGTACAAACACCGCAACACCCTGGGTGAGGCAAACTCCAAGGTCCAGTCCGGCTTGGAAGACAGTCACAGATGTGACAGGAGAAACAAATCTTTCTGCGAAGTTCCAACCAGCCATTGGGAGCTCCAACTTGTCCTTCCCAGCCATCGAAACAAAGTCCAAATCTCAATTTGATTGGCGGGCTTGGAGAAGCTTCCTCCCTGCCGCGACTCCCGACCCCCGGCCGCCTCCCTTTGCTCTCCCCCGGCCGCTCCTCACCGCGTAGCTGGTGGCGCCCACGGTGGGAAGTCCCAGGACCTCACAAATCCATCGTCCCTTTGGGTTTCACCGTTGCCTGGGTTTAACGGCAACCGCGTTCCTTAGGTCCAGCATGTTTGGTCGAATTCGGTGTCTTCTGCTTGACACCTGGTGGAAGCCAACAACACCCTGGTCCCCTCGCCCGGCGCCTGGAAGGGCTTCGTCTTGTCACTGCCCAAGATCCGCACCACCTCCGCCGTCCCCCGCGCAGGGGTCGGGGCAGATGCGGCCTCCGCAGCCTTGGGAATCCGAGCTGAAGGGTATGGGGCAGGCAGACCTGGAGCCAAGAAAGGAAGCAACGAAAAAAAGGATTCCTGAGCCGCAAGATGCCGCAAGTCCGCCCGCACTGAAGGTGCTGAGGCGGGAAGTATGGGCTCGGGCGTTAGACAAACAAAGAGCCTAAATGTTGCTCTTTATTGCTCCAGCGAAACTGGTTCTCATCCCGCTTTGCACCTTGCCTCGACGTCTTGCGGGCTTGCGTTCCCCGCCACCGAACGGTCGAGACAGCAACGCATCGGCGTTTCAAACCTAGTTATTAGTTGCATCTACTTTCAAATGTGTCTTTGTCAGGATTCCCTCAGAATAAAGACCCCAAATCGGCTGCACTCTGTAAAACCCTGCCAAATTGCCAACCAATTCACGCACGGGTCTAATCTGTTTCATGTCACTGCCACGAACAACTGCACGAAGCGACTCCCCTCCGTTCGATCGGCCGGTTGGATTTCAAGTCGCTTCTTGGGCCACTGCAGCTGCAGCTCCACCAGCGGCGGCAACGGAACCCACGAGCCCTTCGCCGGGCAGTCCGGACTCGCCACTCGCGGCTTCCAGGGCCGGAACCTGCATCCGAGATGGGGGGTCCAGGCCGGTAAGATCCGGATCTTCCATGTGGAAGCATGGTTTCTTTTGGATCCGGAATGATGAGGAAAATGGGCAAAAGCTGTGATGAAGGGTGTGGACGTCCCTTTGATTTGCAGGTGTCAGGAATCAAAGCCTTCAAGAACACCCCACTCCGAGACCTGGACCTTGGCAAGGGAAAGCCAGCTGGGGTGTGCAAGATGGAGGTCGCCCAATGAGTGGACTCTATTTTCGCTATATACAGTATTTGTTGGTCTCCATCTTGTGGTAGTAGATTGGTGGCCTCAAACTCAGGAGAATAGTACGTAGGTATTTAACCATACAACATCATACAACATATCCGTACAAGTCCCCACACCCGGTTAAAACCTGGTCCTTTACCTCCGTTTTCGTGGTGTGAACTTGCATGACCAACTCGAATCAAATGAGATCAAATTGACCTGTAGCGTATGTATTATGTATATATTATATATACGTAACAATTCACCTATTGTTCATCGTTCACAAATTGTTTTTTTGTCTTTTGGACTCCTCGTCTCCACGAACGCGGGAACATCTCACCTTGCCACATTCGGCATCCTTCTCACAGAGCAGGCAGCACGCATAGCCCCAGCGGTGCGTTGCCACACCTCAAAAGCCAGGCACGGTGCTCACATCGTTCCAAGTTCATCCCATGTGGTTTTTCCTCGTCTCTTCAAGTTCGACATAAAGACCGAACATGTTGCACTGTTGCGGTCCACTTGCGGTTGTCTCCCCAAAACACAAGTGTGGACATTTGGACCAAAACAAATAAAACCCAGTAGAACCCGCCTTTCTTCAAGGCCAACGAAACCCTTTGGTGACACACTCGTCTGAAGTCTCTGAGTTGACCAGAGTTCGGTGTGACGACAATCAGTGCTGGGAGTGTGTACGACAATCAGTTCAACCGAGCTTTATGTGTGTGTATATATATAATATATATAACTGACAAGATCAAAAGAACTGACTCATATACATATCTTGCTTTTGTTTTGCTGTGAATGAAGAACACCTGCTCCTCATTGATTTTGCACGTGTGTTTGGCCAAACGGCCACCGGTAGGGAAAAAACAGGATGGAACCTACGAACCCACATGCAAACACGTACTCGAAGACTAACGCCCAAACATCTGTTGACAGTCTGGTAGGAGACACTCTTGTAGAACGCTCTTGTGGGACACTCTCGCGCGACACTTTCGTCACTCTGTGGGACACTCTTGCAGAACACTCTTGTGGGACACTCTTGTGGACTCTTGTGCAACACTCTTGCGGGACACACTTATATAACACTCTTGTGGGACACCCTTGTAGGCGTAGGACACTCTTACGCATTCTGTCGGAAACCCTTGTGGGACACTCTTGTGCACTTTTGTTGGACACCTTGTATGACGCTCCCTGTTGTGGGACACTCTTGTGGAACCCTCTTGTAGGACACTCTTGTGGGACACTCTTGTAGGACACTCTTGTCGGACAGTCTTGTGGAACACTCTTGTAGGACACTCTTGTAAGACACTCTTGCGGGAGACTCTTGTATGACACTCTTGTGGGACACCGTTGTAGGCGTAGGACGCTCTTGTAGGACACTCTTGTGGAACACTCTTGTGGGAAACTCTTGTCCGACACTCTTGTATGTCACTCTTGTAGGACCCTTTTGTGGGACGCTCTTGTAGGAAACTCTTGTCGGACACTCTTATGGCACAGTCTTGTGGAACACTCTTGTGGGAGACTCTTGTGGGACACTCTTGCGGAACACTTTTGTAAGACACTCTTGTGGGTCACTCTTTTGGGACACTCTTGTATGGCACTCTTGCGGGACACTCTTGCGAAACACTATTGTGAAACATTCTTGTAGGACACTCTTGTGGGACACTCTTGTAGGACAGTCTTGTCGGACACTCTTGTGGGACACTCTTGCGGCGCACTCTTGTAGGACACTCTTGTCGGACACTCTCGTGGGACACTCTTGTAATCTCTTGTAGGACTTTGCAGGACACTCTTGTGGGATACTCTTTGCAAGTCAACCGTCACATCTCCAGAACGAGCGTTTCGTATGAGACTTCCACCAAAAGCATTTCACACAAGACTTCTTCCAAAATTCATTCGTCAAGTCTCCTTCACACGAGACTTCCTCAAAACTAACACTGCAAAACGAGCATTTCGTACGAGACTTCTTCCAAAATTCGTCAAGTCTCCAAAACGAGCGCTTCGCACGAGACTTCCTCAAAAACTCTAACTCTTCAAGTCTGCAAAACGAGCGTTTCGTACGAGACTTCCTCCAAAAGTGAAGCGCCAAGTCTCCAAAACCAGCGTTTCGTACGAGACTTCCTCCAAAAGTCACATGCCAAAGTCTCCAGTCCAAAGCAAGCATTTCGCACGAGACTTCCTCCGGGAAGCCCCATCGGAGCACGCGCATCAAGCAGCCCTGCCAAGCAGTTTCGCGATTCCAGCCCCTCCAAACAACACCGCTCACACGCCAATCCCAGTGAGACCTGACCTCTGCCACACCTCAACCTTTCCACACCTCAAAAACCGCACAAAGTACGGTGCCTGCCACGAAAAGTGCGCCACACCACACGTTTGGTATGATATCGACGCGTTCTGAGCACACTCCCATCCACCAAACTCGCCATTTGAGCTGAGACTTGTCACGAAAACACAGCTTCGAAGCAACACCCTGAAACGCAAATCCCAATGTCACGGCCACATCCAACACCCCAAAAACACCACCCTCCAAACGCCAATCCCGAAGTGACTGCGCTGAAAACTGCAAATCTCACAAAACGCTGCGCCTGCACAGCTCCACACTTCATCCTCTCACGTTTCCACACGTTTCCTCGCTATTTCACACGAATCTGACACGGCATGCTTCCATCCAAAACCCTCTCCAAAAGCTTCCCCCAATGTGAGTGCCATAGCGCCTGACGGTTGCGAGCGCTCAGACAACGAGTCGCGAACAAGGCTCTACCCCCAGACCCCCAGAGTTAAACGAAAACCCTTCGCGCGAAAAAAGAACTTACTTCTTTGTCTTCCTTTCGCTTCACTTCGTGATGTCCGGCTTCAGCCGCGGCTCAGTAGAAGGAGCCCCACGCCGCGCTGTGGGCCGCAGCATCGGATCGAGCCGCTTGAACGGCATCCATTTCTTCGGGGTCGGCGTCGCGGGGGGGGGGAAGGCGTGGGCGAAGCTGAGAAGGCGCAACAGCTCAAGTGATGCAAAAACAAACACCCACTGAAGCATGGGGAAGAACATGTTGAATCGTTGTAGGTGATTGAGGAGAGAGTTTTTTGCATTGCTGCTACCTCAACAGGGCCAGCTCACTGAGGACGCTTCACCACTTGGACTGTCTCGAATCCACTACGTCTTCCAGGTTTCTGTGTACTTGTAATGGGAGGTTCTACAGTTGCCAGATGGAACGAAGTTTACGCATCGAATTCTTGGAGTTTAGATTGTCTTGTGCATGTCGGTGCCAAGTCTCAGCTCTTCGAGAGACTCTGCGAGACTCTGTGTTCCAATCTTCCCAAGCAAACTCCATCATATTCTCCTCTGTCCTAAGCAAAATCCATCCGCGTACACTGTTATCCTACCACTTTCTAACTGGAAATCATTGTGGGTGTTCAACGATTGATCACCGATTCGTTCTTCGCTTCCTCTTCGACCGACAAGGCACAAGCCGCAGCTTCAGAGCCGACAACAAGAGGACACAAATGGCGATGTATACAGAGAGCCCTTGACCTTCATGGTGTGGTTCATGGACACCCTTTGTTTCAGTCTCCTAGTAATCTCTTTAAAGTTTACAAAAACACTTCGGCATCGCATTCATTCATCCCCATGAAAACAAGATCGATGACAATCTTGCGCACCAAATGTTCCAGTATGGCTTTGGTGGCTCTGACATCGAACGATTGAAAAAATGACTGCTCTTCTATCAGAATGATGCTGAATGTTCATAGCTATTGTCCCACTTTGCAAGATAAAGCGACAATAGACGCGTCATGTTCTTCTTAAGGAAGAACAAACTGCTGCGCCTCCTCTAACTCTAGCGGTGACCAAAGCAACTCGAAGTGGCTCAAAAGGTTACCCATGGGAAAAGTCGAATATCATAATATATCAGAATATCATCATCTAGGGTAAACTTATAGCATCTTATGGCTGTATGAATCAAAAGGCACCACACAAACTGGCAAAGCGCCACTACCTTTTCTAATGCAAAGAGATAGCTTTTGCAAAATTTGGCACCAGTCCTTTGCTGGTGGTGACAAAAGGTTCATGACGCGGGGCGGTGTGGTTCTCTGCTTCAGATATGCGGTGCTGGCTGTCTGGTCAAGGAGCTGAAGCACTGTGTGAAGATGGTGTGGGTTGCGGAAAGCAGACTTGCAGTCCCTTCACTTGTGCCTGAAATCTATATATGTGGCTACCACATCCAACTCCACTATCTATGCTATGCTCTCGTGACCAAGGCCCCAAATGTTGAGCACTTCCATGTCACTTCTTAAAACCCGATGAAGGTGAGGAGTCAACCTCCATCGGCTGGCCTAAAGCCCTGGATGCGAAAACTCTTTCAGGTTTCCATCCAACCTGGCCGCCAGTGGTGCACATCGTACGCATCGTGCACCCAGTGCGAGATCTCAGCTGCAAATGCAATACCCCAAAACCCTGTAAGTAGCGGGATCTGCTCCACCTTTGAACTGATTTGGTGGATTTCATCCAAACAGATCCTCACTAGTCAATAGTTATGTCTGGCCTCAAGCATCCTCAAGCACAGTCTGGTTCGTCAGGTACAAAACACAACAATTACATCCTTAGAGATGTTAAATCTCTAATGGCCGTCATACCTTTTTCCTTTGACGAGCATCAGTCAATTCATGCACCGGCCAAGGCACTCCGCAATCTCCAGCTTCTTCGCCAGGTTCACACCTCGTGGCATGGCCGAGCGAACAACCTGAAGACCCTGAAATCCCAATACCAAACAGGTGGTGAACTCCAGGGAGATCAGGGTCTTCAGGTTACGCAGGGAGTGTACATATCTACAAACAGGTAACTCTACTTCCATGATTTTTGCAGGGACTGTACAGATCTACCCAAGATCTGCGGAGCTCGCCTCTCCCAGTCCATCTGATCGGTCGGTGAACATGAAGTAGAGTGCAGCTGAGGAGAGGACCCTGAGGACCCTGAAATTCCGTGTATGTCCTGTCTCAACAGGGGGACTGAACAAAGAACATCATCCCAAAGCACCCCGAACAACAAGTAAAAAGACAGAAAAACCATCGCTTAAAAATGCACCTCCGAATCGTCTCAACTCAACGCCCGGAGACGATTCAACACGCGTCTTGAAATCTTTCAACACGCTGTGGCTCCGTGCGGGCAGGTTTGCCGGTGGCACCTGGAAGGCGGTGGCACCCCCCGGTGGCACGTCGCGGACGCACCGATGCCGTTCCTTTCTCTGCTCCCAGCATCTCGGACAGCGACCGAGGCAAAGGTCGATGAAAGAGCTATGGAAGTTTCACCTGAAAGAGCTATGGATCTGAAGTCACCTGTTTTGAAACCACCAGCAACCACACCAGATCATGCAGCTCGCGCGAGCTGCGTGAGATCTGCGCCTTTGGGGAGCTCCTTCATGGTCACCAGGACCTGTTTCGGAGGGAATCGGCGGCTTCCAACCAAAAGCGCTGTATGGCCTGTTGGTGTTCTCCAAGCGGAAAGAGAAGACAACATGAAAGAAATGGAAACCATCACATCCGGTGGAGTTGGGTCTTCGGTGGTCTTCAGGGTTTCACCTAGTTTCACCCAATCCTCCTGAGGTCGAAGGATTGGTTTCGCAAGTGCCCAGGATCTAGTGGAACGTATTTTAGGACCAGAACATGCCACAAGAGGACACCCAGCCAGCCCCATCTTCCTGCCCAAACATCCAATAAAAGGCTGGGAACATGCCATGTGCCCAAGCTGCACCCAGTTGCAAGTACGACCTGTTTGATGCCAGTGTCATCCAGTTTGTGCAGTTGAACAGAACGTAAGTACCGATTTGCCAGCCAAGCAGGGTCACACAACAGCGAAACATCATGCCCATTCCCGCTCCTTCCGCCCCTTCTAAAAGCTCCTGGTGGAGACACTTGCACCGTTTTCTAGGCAACTTTGGAAGGAATATATACTTCGGAACGAAATATATAGATCCTGATTTGTGAAACTTCTGAATAGCGAGGGCAAAATTTAGATTGATAGCATTTTATGTCATCTGCAAAACTAACTCACGGAAGTGCAAAGCTTCTGTTCGGCTAAACAAGGAAAATGATCTTCTGATCCTAGCCATTTGCATCATGCACTGCTTTCGCAGTTATCTGGTTCTTGATCATGGTCTCGACTTTGTAATATGCAGGATTTTCAAGAAAGAAGCTAAAACCTGGTATATGCCGCAAAAATGCAAGTATTTTGAGTATATAAATGGTTGACAAGCAAAAAGCACATGACATGCCTTTTCTACAAAAGAACTGTGTGGATGCCATCTTTTCACTGATCATCTCTTCGAAACCGTCTGTTAGAACCCCGACAAAGACTCCTTCCACCCGCCGTTCCAGAAACGTCCGCAGTTGACACCAACGTCACACCTCCGGACACCACTTGTCTTGCAAGACCTGCCGGTCCCGGTCCCGCGGGGGGCAACATCGAAGCAGGACAAGCGGGAAGGCGAAAAGCCAAGGATGTGAAAAGCCAAGAAGACGTACCAGTACACTGGTTCAGAGTGGTATTCTTAACGATCCGGTTCAGGGTGATGAATTGGATCTTGGTGGATGTGATTTCTGCGACTCTTCAAGGTGAGAATCTGCCCCAAGGTCCGGTGCCCCAAGACCAAGTGCCTTGTCCTTCATGAGCCACTGGCGAAGGTCGAAGAGCTTCACCGTTTTGCCTTCCTGGGAGAGAGGACATCCCAGCAGGACATCCGACAGGCGACCCACCCGTCTCATGACTCCTGTGTGTTCTCAGAGGAGATGTGGCAGGTTGTCTTGAGAACTCGTGAGAATTCCATGGCTCTTCAGTGTTGTTTTGACCCAAAACTTGCACCAAAGATCGCAGCAGCGGGGTTGGTCGGAAAGCGAAGCTGGGCATGGCCCGAACCAGCAGGGCGGGCTTGGTGTGACAACCGTGCAGTTCCACCTACGGAGCCCCTCATGACTCATCCACGGGCTACCTACCGTGGCTCATCTACGCCTACGCCTTGCTTGAGAAGTCCAGGCTTCACCTGACACGTCACTGTGTCAGGCGTTGCAACAAAAGCAACTCCAGGAGGGTTCTTGTGGAGAGCTAGGTAAAGTGAACCGAACATGTTTGCCGGTCTTGCACCAAGCTGGACATCCTCTGCCCATGTCATTGTGCAACAAAATTCGTGGATAGGCAGCAACAAATTGATGACAAATTATTGGGGGCAAGAAGCTGTGACCCACAAAACGGGCAACACAAAACTTACACCCTGGAAGACTAACATGGACCCTGAAAAAAACCACTGGTTGGTAGAGGAAAACCATCTTCCAGGGAGTCATTGTCAGGGTCAACACATGAGTTTTCGGGAGTGTAGTTATAAGGAGCTCCCCACATGAACGCACTTCTCATGCGAAGCCTCTCCGCTGGCCGACCGACCGTCCACTCGCCTTGGGGATGATGACCGCGCCTCAGCATCGAGTGGTGCGGTGAGTGGAGCCATGTGCCATGTGCTTGGTGCTGAAGCTCATCCCAAAGGCTTCGGTCTCACAGCCACTCTGGCACCCCTCCAAAACCCTTAGAGTTCTATCCACAATCCGATTCGAATAGGGATCAAACATCCTGAAACTCTATTTGGATAGGCCGTTTCTTCACTCTGAAGCCCTTTGTGTTTCATGTTCCTTCCTTTCAGCGGGTGCGCCCGCGCCCCATCCCATTCGACCGAGCTCCTGGCCCACAGCTTCCCCCAGCATGGAATGCGGGCCTCAGACCCGAAACCCCGCCGCCCTGCCGGTGCCTAGATCATCGATGCTTAAGAGAAGTCGTGGGACAGTTCCAATCGACGAAACGATATCAGAGTCTGCTACCTAAAAGGGTAATACACATAAATAGATATTCTGGACATGGGTGCACCTGTCACCTGGCACAGACTTTGTAATGACTTTGTAGAGG